TTAAAGAGATGGAGATGGCTATGATCAGAGTTATTATAGAAGAATATCTCAAACCAACCGTGGCAAGATTCTCAGAGGTCTTAACAGAGACATCGCCAACATGGTGGAATTACAACATGGAGCCAAAGCTCTGTTACCAAATGATATGGAACCCAAGATCAACCAACGTGATCAGGAACTCACACAATTTCATTCAAGGCACCAAAGGAATTTGATCCTACGAAAATCGTCCATACTTAGTCCTCTATCAAGAATGATAGGAACTAAGATCACTGAGAAATGGAGAACTAAAATAAGAATGAAAAAACGCCACAAAGAATTACCTTGATAAGTAGATCCACTCCTCACTCAACAAGAAGGATGAAGACACATCTATTGGATAAGACTCACAATATTATTAGTTTTTAATCTTAGATGCTTACAATGAAGACTTGATGGCTTATTTATAGGGTATGCCATGTGAATAAAATAGTAATAAAAATCTCCTAATTAAAATTACAATTACTTAGAAAATTAATTAAAAATAAAGTCTAAATTCCTAACTAGGTGCAATTACATAGAAAATTAATTAAAGTTAAAGTTTAAAATTTTAATTATGATAGATATGGTCTTCCCCCTTTTCTTGGCCAATTGCTTCCTTTTCTTACCCATTTCCATCATGTGCTTAAAGACAATTGATAAGACTATTATGCCCTTGAATTAATTGGTTGGGTAACTTATTTCCTTGGGATTCTTTAGTGGATGCAAACCCATTTACCTCATTAATCCAAACTTGGATGAAGAGTTGGAAAGCTTGTTGTAATCCTTAGGTCTGGCTCCTTGTTATGGGCCCACTTGGTATAATGATGTCTTTTCCATGTGGCCCAAGATGATCCGTGCTCACATCAACATGTCTATTGGAATATATGCTTATTGTGATTAAATCATCATTCTAATTTTATCTTAGTGTATGATGTTTGAAAGACTACTAATTAGGGAAGAAAATATTAATGTTTTCAGTAAAATAGACAAAGAATGCATTAGCATTTGGATTTCATTAAAAGCATGCTCAATCGATCGTTTTATATTTTTTTACAATCCTTTAATTTTCATTTTAGTAAAGTATTGATATTTTTACTAAACTAGTGTAGCTCACCCCTTTCTTATTAATCATTTTAGATGAAGACGATCAAGACCCAGATCCTGAGTAGTCAAAGACTAACGAGGATGTTATTTCTTCCTGCTTTGCTAAATTCAGAATGAACTTAATAATTACTTTGTAGCTGCTTTTTCGTTTTAAGTTCTAACTTTCCTTTAGCCCCTATTTGGACATTCTAAGTAAATGTGTAAAGAATGTAACTTTTAATTTTTTTTTTCACGTGCACTATTTTAATTCTAGTACTACTATATTATCATAATAGGGCTAAATGCTCGAAATCCTTAATAGAGGTTAGGGCTTTTACAGTTGGTATCAGAGCCGTGTTCCTCGAAACTATTCCTTGCACATAGGGTTGGAATAAATTTAATGCAATTCGAATTTCAAACTATTTGTCATGTAATGTAGGTAAGGAAACATGAGGAGAGGAAAGCCCTTGCTAAAACAAAGTAGCCCGAGAGAGATCACCATGGGGGGACGTTGATTGACTATTCGAAATGCTTGATAGATTGATTTCTGCCCAGATGGCTAGGGAGGAGAGAATGGAGTTGTCTGATCCCCCTCTACCCTTACCACAGTATGAGCCACCTTCACATCAAGAGGATCCAGTACCCCCACGGTAAAACATAGTTCCTCCATAATACCATCCGACACCTTCATAGTACAATCTAGTACGTCCACCGTACAATCTAGTGTTGCCACAAGGCCACTCATTTCCTCACTAGGATAATCCAGTTCACCTCCAGCAAGAGGCAGCTCTACATACGATAGACCCGAACTACATTGAGAGGTATAAGAAACTTAACCCAACTACTTTTTTATGAGCATCCACTTTTGAAGAAGTTGAGTATTGGTTGATAGAGACAGAGAAGGCCTTCATGACACTTATTCTTGAACAGAAGGTTGTCATTGCCACGTATATGCTCATAGGTGAGGCAGGACATTGGTGGCAACTCAAGTAAGCTACTCTGCCCACTCCGGTCACCTAAGAACAGTTTTTGCTCACCTTCAATGCTGAGTACCTTTCAGAACATCTCCGACATCTGAAATAAATGGAATTTGCATAACTAGTCTAAGGAGATTTGTCAGTAATAGAGTATGCTCGAAAATTCCTTGAGTTAGGTTGATACTCCCATGATAGTATGACAGATGAAGGCAAGAAGACAAAGAGGTTTGGACGGGGTCTTTATCCTGAGATCATGTAATAGTTGTATGTGTTTGAGCTTGACACATATTCGACAGTCTTGGCCAAGGCATCGTTGATCGAAGAACATTCATATTTTTTCCTCAACAATGGGCAACTCAAGTCCCCTAATTCTGCATCATAGACCAGCGCACACTACACCGAACCAGCAGAACAAGAGGCCAAGGCCTGCACTTCAGGCTCCTCCTCAGGCCTTGATAGAAGGATATGGTAAAATTTGTCAGTACTGTGGCAAAGATCGTAAGGAATGAATTTGTTATTGTCTCAACAACACCTGTCGCATATGCAAGAGTGCCTAACACTATGCGAGAAAGTGCTCGAGG